GAGGAAAAATATGAATTAGAGATAATTTAGGAGAGAAACTCTCTACTAAATTAGAATTAATTTTTTAGATAAATAAGAATTATAGATAATTTAGAAGATAAATAGGAATTAGAGATAATTTGCCAAAAAGTGGGGGAGGTAGTTTAAGAGAATTTTAGGAAAAGAGATTATTTAGGTTGTTGGGAAAGTGGATTTCATTGATTGTATCAAAAATGATATGGAATAAAAAAACCAAAAAGGTGAAAAATGAGAAAATTTCTTGACCGCTTTATTTTAATATATATATATATATATATAGAGAGAGAGAGAGAGAGATTAGTGGTCCCCATGTGATGCACATGAAAATTCGATGTCTAATATGATGACAGAAGGGATTATAAGAATATAATCATTAAATATTTTTTCTGATAACAAAAAATAATAATAGAAAAATGAAAATTGATCAATTAATTGCCAACAACGTCACAGAGGAATGCTAAAATTTTAGCATATAAAGTGGTGGCAAAAATTTTAGCTCTCCGTCTGAAGAAGTGTCTACACTCTCTCATCACCCCTTTCTAGAATGCTTTTGCACCTGGAAGGCAGATTCATGACAATAGAATTTTAGCTTCAGAAGCAGTTCATACAATGAGGAAAATGAAGGATTTCTGGAAATTCAAGGAGCTCAAGCCTCGTATTCAAGCCTGAAAGATATTGAAGATCTTAACCACCTCTTCATTCATTGTGAAACTATGAGGACTGTTTGGTTTGGTTCATGCCTTGCTCTTCACATGGACCTTTACCTAGACTGGAGTCTTGAAAGGTGACTCTCTCCTTGGTGGGATAAGAACAGTGAAACTCTTGAGGATGATATATCCTTTTTGAGTAAGTTTGCAATTATTCTCTGGAAGATTTGGAAAGCTAGGTGTAAAAAAGTCATCGAGAATGTGCCATTTGATCCCAAGACTTAAATGGAGAACTTAGTAGGACTTAAAATTTGCAGAAGGATGCATGCTCCATGCTAAGGGTGTCAATGGACTGGTTTTGGATTGGACTTGGATTGGACCCGTCCAATCCAAAACCAATTTGGACGAATTGGATAGATTAACAAGATATATTAGATTGGATCAATTCGATCCAAGATATTCATTAGATTGGACTGGACTCAATCCGTCCGTAATAAATTTATATTGGATTGCATTGGATTAAGCTAAAATCTAGTCCATTGATATAAGATAATGAACCGAGTTTGAGTTGAAACCAATATAAATTAAAACGAATTTGAACAGATTGGACAGTCCAAATATTGAATTGGACTGGTCTAAAATTGTCTAAAATATTCATTGGATTAGATTGAACCTGGTCCATTTGTAATGGATTCACACTTGGACTGGATCGGATTGGACCAAATCTAGTCCAATTGACACCCCTACTCTATAGTCTATACAACTCCACTCTGAGATCTCCCCCAGCTACTTGGAGTCTTGGTCAGCTCCCTCGGTGCCGTTTATCAAAATAAATGTGGACGATGCCCAGGACCCAAATAGTTCTGGCTTGAGTATTGTTTTGAGAAATCATCGAGGCGGTTTGGTCTTTGCATGAGTTGTAAGAACAGAGCTTTCAAATCCTGAGATCACAGAAGTACGTTTAGAACAGGACTACAATTTGCTTCAGATCTGAACCTGAACTATATTTGGCCTGAAGGAGATGTTCAAAAGATTGTTTCTTGCTGATCTTATTTTCATGGAAATAGATGCTTTGTTGCATCCAGTATCCTATCATGAATTGTGATGTAGGAATGGTAATGGGGTGGATTCGGGGCCAGCGTGGACAAATATCACCCCCACCCCATCCCTAATCCCCATTTAGGTTTCCCCAAACCTCAATCAATGGTAAAAAAAACCGCCCCGATCATGGCGGAGTCTCATAGGGACGGGTCAAATTGTCATATCTATTACGATCTTTGGTGCTATAATTGGATTTAAAAGGCACCACACGCCTTCCTCGTTGATAACATCTCTAGAAACTGGCATTCTAAATGTAGAAAATAAACAGAATGTAGAGAAAAGCAGAATGCAATAAACAATGTATACACATCTTTATGGGCTATGCAAGGATGAGGAAAAACTGTTTATGCATGCATAAAAAGGAGGTGGTTTGCTAGAGAAATAGAGATATGGCAATTTCACCATATCTATTATGATGAAGTTGGAAAGGGGTGCCACTTTGCTACATGGGAGGGCTAGGAAGGGGGACTGGAGGAATGATAGAGAAAGATATAGAAAATTAAGAATGAAGTTTGAAAAGGGGGGGGGGGGGGTTTGGAGAAAGGAGAAATATGCTGATATGGACAAACTTACTTTATATACAGGACTAGCGGGGACCCGTGCGATGCACGGGAAATTTTGAAAGATTGAATAATTTTATTTACTATTAAATAAATGATAAATTAATAATCAAAATTTGTTGTTAATTAACTAAAAGTATTCAAAGTTATTGTTAATATTTAAAGTTTTAATAATTCTATTTTCCATTTAATGTTGATTTACAAAAAATAATTATTGTTAATCTAATAAGAACAAATCTTTTTAATAAATTTAATTTTATTAATCATTTGTAGTAATTTTAATAACTGTTATTATTTTCATTATTTTTAAATGAAATTTTGATTGGCATTAAGTAAATAAAAATAATTACAAAAGCTAATTTTTTTATTAATTTCACTAATAATTAACAATTCTATAGGAATGACAACTATATGAGGCACCCCATCCTTGTCCCCACCCTATAGTCAAGACACTCTACTCCATCCTCGCCCCATCTCTAGTGTTAGGTGGGTTCAAAGCCAGGCACCCACTCCTCGCTAGGAATTGGGAATCCTTGAATTCCCCGCCTCGTTCTCAGTGGCGGGCGAGCTCATGGCAAGGCACCCATTCCTCATTAAGGATGGAGAATCCTTGAATTTCCCTACGCAATCTCTAGAGTTCAAGGCAAGGCACCCACTCCCCATTAACGCAATATTCAATTTGATGACAAAAATGATCAAAATGATATATTGAGTATCGACCACATGGTAAATTTCTAAAATTACACTAAATTGTATTTAATTTTCAAAAATGTAATTTTATGAAAATTTTGGAAAATTTATTACATTTGTGTAATTTTGAAAATTTATTCAAATTTATTTTTAAATTGTTATTAAATAATTTATTTTCTTTTTAAATGGTTTACTTACAGAATTACACTAATTTACCTTATATTTTCTAATATAAATTAATCAATAATTTCCTTTTTCCAATATTATACTAATTTATCTTAATAATTTTTGTAATTATTTGTTCAAATTACATTTTCCTTTTCCCATACTCATCTTTAATGATTTTCAATAATTTACAATGAAAATTATATAATTTTTAATAATTTTCTAAAATCTATCAAATGTAATAAGTTTTCCTAAAATTTCTAAAATATTCCAATAATTTTTAATATTTATTTAATACATTTTAAATAAACTTTCAAAAAGTTTATATCTTTTAATTTCTAAAATTTTATTTTATGAAAATTTTATTACATTTATGTAATTATGGAGATTTATTGAAAATTATTTTAAATTGTTACTATTATTTATTTTTATTTGGTAGTTTACTAAAACATTACACTAATTTTCTTTTTTTCAATATAAATTAATTAATAATTCCATTTTCCAACATTATAATATTTTATTCCCCATATGAATTCGGTTATTAAATATAATAATAGAAAAAACTAAAATTTTATACTTTTTGATAATTGTTAAATATAATTCTCAATTTTATAAAAATTAGTTAAAGAGTTTTCAATTTCTATAAAATTTTGTTAATTAACACGAATATAACAGTATTTATCCAAAATACTTTAAAAAGTCATGATGAGTTAATTAATAACAATATTTATTAATTTTTGGTAATTCACTACCCGTACTAATAAGAGTATTTAATTTTTAGTAATTTTACTAAGTGTATTTATTAACTTTTGGTAATAACACTATTTAATACACATTGAATATGAGTTAGATTAAATATTAACCGTATTTAACTATTTATTAATTAATATGAATATTTTAAATGAGAGAGTGGATATAGATTGGGGGAGAGAGATTTTAGGAATTGATTGGGGAGTGAGGTAACCTAATGGCTTAGAGGAGATACTTTAGGAGAGAAATTCTGGGAATATTTTTAGGTAGTTGGGTTGGGAATGGTGATATGGCTTAATGGGAGTGGTGAGAAGGAGAGAAGAGAGAGTTAAGGAAAATGCAGAGTATGGTAATGGAATAAGGAGAGGCATGCTGACTAGACCGTCTTGCCATAAATAGAGAGAGAGAGAGAGAGAGAGAGAGAGAGAGAGAGATATGGGGCCAGAAACCAACTATTGTCCTCTTAGCCTCGAGTTAGAGGTTTGGGATACAGGAATCAGCTCAAGCCCAGCCCAACTCAGCCCATTTATATTTAATGGATTCTGTCTCAATGTCTACGATGCTATATTATGGACCCAGAAAACAAAGCCCAGCTATATTCTGTCTCTAGCCTCGTGTTAGAACTTTGCGATAAATCAGCTCAAAGCCCAGCCCAACCCAGGCCATTGAAATTCAAACGATACGCTCTGTCTCAAAGTCTACGACTACGATGCTATCCTCTTTAATGGCTGAGGAGGATCTGAACCCACAACCGCAAAGCCTGAACCAAATGAATTCTAGGGTGGAGCCCCAGCTTTATCTATCCATCAATCCATCATCTTAGGCTGTTATTGATTAGAACTCTGCTCCAAAGATTCACTATTTGAGGAACAAGCTTTGAGTTATTGTTTTCAGATCTATAAAATCACTTCTTAGTTATCATATTATAATGAGCTTCACTGAAAGTGATTTAGTTCTAATGATTTTCGTACATCCAAACTAGAAGTGATTCTTAGAATCACAAAAAGCATGGCTCTTCTGCATGCATGCCAAACGCTGCCTCAATTAAGCTTTTGAGAAATAAGCGATGAATGGTTCTCCTTCTTACACCACATCACATTAAAATCTCCAACCCAGTACTTCTCTTCCCTCCACATGTAATCCTCCGTCTCCCCTTTTATTCCCTCTCCCTCCCTCTCTTCCTACACAGGCACACATACTCTCAATGGCTACGCTTCAGTTCCTTGCATTATCCTCTCCGATTTCCCACTGTTCACACCAGCAACGTTTTCCTTCAGGTAAATTTCTTGCTTTCTTTAAATTCAGACAAACAAATGATCAGTGCTGATTACTGGGTTTATCTATTTTGTAAAAATTCGACCGTAATTACTTGGCTAGATATATGGAGCAATGCTTATTTGGAGATGGGTGTTTTTCTATTCTGCAAACTTGGGAATTTACCTCTTCTTTTCTTGGCATCTTACACGAAGAAGCCATCTTTTTTGTTTTGGTATAATTGCAGATGAATTCATAAGAATGTAGGAGATATGTATGATATTTCTAGCGATTGATGAGGACAGGATAGTTGGAAGTTGATGAGGATGTAGGAAATAGTGCTGGGCTAAAAGTGGAGTTCATGATTTTGGTTAATCCATGATGCTTCCTGAGTTTTTAAATTGAGAAAGTACGGTTTTCCTGGTGGGAGGATTTGTTTTATTAGATATGATATCTGGAACAATTCACTAGTTGAAGTTAGAACACCAGCTGGCCAACTAAGATATGGATCCAGATGAGAAACGTATAGCTATTTATATATATATTTTTCAATTGTTTTCTTCATTCCATCAAACTCTAGTACTTATATAATATATATATATAGTTGAATAATGACACTGTGGAAGGCAATGGCTTTGATACAAAGAATGTGGGGGGTAAATAATAATGAAACTTGGGAAAATGTTATTTATTGTCATGAGAAATTGTTAAGGCAGCTTTATTTTCTCTTATTTGGTGGTTTGTCATGTTCATAAATAACCATAGGTTAAAATGTCTGAACAATCCATGTAGTTGGAAGTTTAACTGTGGAAACTAGTCTTAAGGTTTTGGGGAAGCTGCACTATCTCATCAGCTGGTGCTGGAAAGGGGGTTCATCAGCTCATTACTTCATCAGTTCGTCTTGCTTTTGTCCTTCCCTAGTGATTTTCATATTTCTTCTTTGATGAATTGAGTTATTTCTTGCATTTGAGTACTCTGAGGATAAGAGGCCCTGTAATAGTTTCTGTTTTATTGTATTGGGTGCAGGCACCTGATTAATCGATTCAAAGATGTTTTGTAATACTGTTTTCTGCAAATGAATTCTTTTGCTTGGATGTGTCACTTTTTTTTCTTAAATTGAGTTTACACTGGATGTTTTCACCAAAAAGTTAGTATCATGTGATGATGATTTTGTGAAGGGAAAATGTTTGTACTTTGACCATGCCATGGTGTCTGTCAGTACACCTGTTGCATTGTTTTTCTTTTCTTTTCTTTTCTTTTTTCTTTTTGTGTGTGTGTGTGTTCTTGATCTTGTTACTATGAGTTGTTTCCTTAACAAAGTTTCTGGTGTATACATTTGCCATTTTTATATAATCAATATGTAAAATGTTAATAGAGCTTGAAATTCATATTAAGTATATTTTAACTGTTTTTAACCAGACTTAATGCTATTGGTTGGTTTCAAATTGTATGTCTTGCAGATTTCTGTTGAATTGCCACCCTGAGTCACTATTTCTGTTTGTCTTGTTTTTATTCTTCGAAGATCTTTTGAAAACTTTCATCCCTCAGGTCTACCTGCTAATAAGTCCAAACAAAAATGTATGCATTTCCAGAGACTTTGCTGGCAAATCCCATCATTTTGGTTCCAAAATGTCCCCAGATATTAATCCAGATGTGCTTGTTTAAGTATAGCCTCCTTTTGATTTATGTTGCAACATAGTTTTTATGAAATTTCCAACAGCAATCAATCCGTTTGAAGTGAGACTAGTTGTATGTTGTGATATTTACTTTAGGAATAACATTAGTACTAACCTTAAACCAGGGAAAAGAATTTTTTAGCAGACGGGAGTACATAATCTGGGGAAAATTGTTTGGTTCCTGCTGTTCCAAATAAATTCCAAATCTCTTTTAACCTGTGCAGGTTTGGTTTCTTTACCTGGGGTTTGTCGGAGTGTGCATTCCTCCTTCAGTGGCCAATCACTGCAGCTACCCCATCTACGGTGGGCCTCATTAAGAGGAAGTTCCCAAACATCTGGAGTAATAAAAATGATGGTCAGGCCATCAATTCAGTTCATCCAAGGAACTGATGAGCAGACAATACCAGATGTAAGGCTAACCAAATCAAGAGATGGAACAAATGGTATGGCGATATTCACTTTTGAACAACCATCTGTATTTGATTCCTCTAGTGAGCTTGGTGACATCACTGGATTTTACATGATTGATGAAGAAGGTGTTCTTCAGTCAGTTGATGTTAGCGCCAAATTTGTTAATGGAAAACCAGCAAGAATAGAGGCAAAATATGTAATGCGGAGTCCTCGAGAATGGGACAGGTTCATGAGGTTCATGGAGAGATACTCAAATGAGAACGGATTGCAGTTCATCAAAAAATGAGGCAATGTACATCCTTCCCCCTTGTCTGCCCTCTATTTTCATTTACCGGTTTGTAGCTTTTGTAATTGGCTTACCTGAAATTTGATAATCTTGGCTACTGGCAATGTAACTTCAATTCAAGTACTATGTTTTAATCAGTTGCCTGTTTTGGTAATGTTCAATTCGTTTCTAAAAGCAGTTTTTATATATATACAGACTACAGAGTGGAAAAAATCATGCTCATCTCTCAATTTCAGCACTAGCTGGTTTTCATATTAATCAGAGCAATATAAAATAGTGCGCCATTAGAGAAGCTAGAGCATTGGCTCGCACTTGAATATCTCATTCAAGTGGGTACCCAGATCTGTCAATGCCTTAGCTGGCAACTTAGCAAGAAGTGGAGTTAACAGGTCTATTCTGCTATGGGGACAGGGACACCCGGACCAGGGATGCAGCAATGAAATTAATTGCTGCTTGTATTTGATTTCGGTGTAGCAAGTCTTGTATGTTGCTTTTTTATTTTTTCCTTCCTGTTAGAGATATTAACAACAAGGCTCTTCTTGGTTCTATTAAATTGATGAAATTTCTTTGGTCTTGCTATATATAAAGTAGTGCACCAACGTTGCGTGTTAAGAAAATGCTAGTTCAAAACAGTTACTCCTAGGGTGTGGTATTGCATAACTTTTGGACATGGAAATTCTCAAAATCTCATTGTTCCTGAAAATATGGCTTCACTTTGTTTAGCATTGTGCAGTAATGCTTACGTGTGCTATATAAGAATAAGATGCAAGCCTGGCTAATTTGTAAATCTAAGTGAAATGAGACTACTTATATGAGAGCATTATATGTGGCCTTTTAAGGGACATTTATTTTCTTATCTTCCAAATATTTTGCAACTTAGTACCAGACAAGTTAGGTAATAGATTTTATGCATTGAAGAATTCTGACACTCAAAACCTGTACTTCCCCATCTTATTCTATGTCTGATATAATGAGAATTTGGTTAGAGTATTCCATTAAATGAAGAGTGGAATATGCCGGGCATTCAGTACTGGTGGTTTGAAACAATCAATTTGACTATTTGAAGATTCAAATAAATCCAATATTGAATAATAGGAACACAATACATTTTCTAGAACTTAATATGACAGTGACTTGACTTTTCCCTCTATCGAACGATAAAGAAGCTTCACTTTTGTCTCCTATATGTAATTCTACTAGAGCCAATAATACAAACTGAATTCAGATAAACCATCAATGTCACCTTAGACAATACTATTGCCAAAGGATTTCTTACTCTTACTACTGCTGCTTGTTTGTCCAAGTAACTGAAATTGGGCTTCTTACCCTGTGATGGCTGAGTTGAGTATGTACCCATGTCAAGTATCCTTCTGCGTATGTGAGCTTCTCTGGTCCCTTCTTGGATATAAACCAGACATTGTATGTCAAACTGTGGTATACATGATTGAATGTCAAATGTTGTGGTTTAACTATTACTTTGACCCCTGGAGGTGCCATAATCTCCACTGAGTAAGTGGAATTAGGGGAACCCACATTTGTTAGTCGCCTTCTTATCATCTTCATTGTTTTCCCAGCCTTGAAAGTCACAGACATGGAGGGGTAATTAAGGCTGAAACCCCTGCTCTTCGCCATGATTTCATGGCAACTCACATTCATGTGAGTGATGGTGAAAATCTGTGAACTTGTGTATCCAAGAGTGCAGAGATGAGTTACATATTCACTTGCCCTGATATCGTAGACCAACCCTGGGTCAATTGCTCTATCAGGGTTTACATGTCCAGCTCCAATTGCTAACACTTGTGCTGGTTTTTCTCCGTCCATGATTGGCTTTCCCCAATGGTCTGTCACCTCAGCTGTTGTCATGATTGCAGATTTAACTGCTGCAGGGCTCCAGTCAGGGTGAAGAGAACGTACCAGAGCAGCAATCCCACTCACGTGAGGACAAGCCATGGATGTCCCTGACAAAACAGTGAAATTCACTCTCCTTGAATCTTCTGGTAGGCCTGAGGGACCCAAGTTTTGAGGCCAGGCAGCAATGATGTTTACTCCAGGAGCAATAATGTCTGGCTTGATGATTGAAGGATTGGTTAAACTTGGCCCTCTCGATGAAAACTGAGCAACTGCTGGTGCTCTGCTTTTCCCAATCACTGTTCCTCCGAATAAAATTCGAGCTCTGGGTCTCCTTGTAGAGTTTATGTAACTCTTCAATTGTAAAGCTTCTGTATAGCCAATCAGTGTTGCTGGCAAGACATGAACATCAACTGAATTCTCCTCCAGGTTGAGCTCCGTATTTGCTACAATCATCGCAGCACCGCCAGATTCCTTCACAACTTGTCCCTTTTCGGCCCTTCCATTGGCACCTCTGTCACAAACTACCATTTTCCCACGGACTTGAGCTCTTGGGAGGGAGTCTTTGAAGCAAAGTTCACTCCCCTTATCCCCGCCAGTCACATACACCAGCTCAAGCTCTTGCTCACTGTTGGGCAACTGGTCTCCTGGATACAGAGACTCTCCATAGAGGAATTGACCATTGCCAAGCCGCACAATGGCCGGAAATCTCCGGTCAAGTGTACTGGCACCGACAGTTGTTATCCAAGGAGCCTCATTGGCAACTGAACTTGGGATTGGACCGTTGTTACCAGCTGCGCAAACTACCAGAATACCCCTTGCCATAGCTCTAAAGCTGCCTATTGCAATGCTGTCATCAAAAAGTGGTATTGGAAAGCCGCCTAGAGAGAGGGAGAGGACATCAACTCCATCTCTAATTGCATCGTCCATTGCTGCTAGAATGTCTGAGCTATAACAGCCATTGAACCAACAGACTTTATATATTGCAACATGGGCCCCGGGCGCCATACCTCGAGCCACGCCTGCAGCATTTCCTAGCACATTTGCCATTGGGACAGAAGCTCCTGCTGCCGTCGATGATGTGTGGGTGCCGTGGCCGTGTGAGTCGCGTGGGGATATGTATTCTGTTACTTCAGTTGGTTTTGGGAGAGGTGAAGATGTCATGTGCCCTTTAGTATAGAACCGGGCACCTATGAGCTTGCGGTTGCAGTTGGAAGAGTTGAAGTTCTCTCCCTCTTGGCAGATCCCCTTCCACTTCTTGGGCACTGGAGGCATCAGATGATCATTGAAGCTCGGACTCTCAGGCCACACTCCAGTGTCAAGTACCCCTATGACTGTACCACGACCGAAGCCTGACCGCAACCAAGAACCATCTTCTGTGGGGCTTAGTCCTAAGAACTTGTAGGAGTAAGTGGTCTGTAACTGGAAAACATGATCGGGTCGAATTGCAATGACATGGTGCATGCTTCTCAGGGCTTCATATTCAGACTGCGAGAGACGAGCTGCGAAACCTTCCATGATAGAATGGTACGAGTAGAGAAGGCGGGAAGACGGGGTATCTTCTGAAGCAACGATTCGGTCGAGGAATGAGAGATGCCACTCCAGCCTTGTACTGAAGGCTGAGTTGAGCATCCCATGTGGGTGTAACTGAACAATGTAGGTCTGGAGATCAGAGGCATGAAGGGAAACTAAGTAGTGGAAGAAGGTGAAGAAGAAGAAAATTTGTTTGGTTTCCATGGAAAGATAAAGACTTGTGTGGCTTGGTTAAACTGCATGTGCTTGGGAATGAGTTGCAGGGGTATTTGAAGGTGATGGGTGAGAATTTGAAAACGAGTTCTTGGAAGCATTTCTGGGAGAAGAAGATGAAACTCGTGAGGTTTAAGGGCTCTTCATCACGGGGATCCTTTGTTGGGGAGAGTTTCTTTGTTGAGGAGCTGAAGCTCTGGGCGCTGATCTTGCTTTCACGAGATATCTTGGTCGGAGTTTATTACATCACATGGTTTATATACAAATATATAGCCGTTATATTCAAATTCCATCAACCTTGTTCCTATCGAGTTCCATGTTTTTCTGTGGTTGTGCACAGTAAGAATAAATTGTACTAGAAGTAACCAAAGCGAAGGCCGATGGGGGCGTCTTAAATGCCTGTTGTTCCATTCCAATGCTTTTATGTGCACGCTCTCGGTCCGACTTCTGTGGCAGCTCCCAGTTCACGTGCAGTTCGTGTGCTTGGAAGCCATGATTGCCTACATCCTACCCTTGTTTTTGAACCGTTTGATGGTTCACATGTGCAACCTCAGTGCCTGGCCCCACCAAATTCTATTACCATTTGATAATTTCAAGTAATTATCATCCTAAAGTCTACTAATTTGTGATAATTTCTTTTGATTTATTTTTAGTAATTTTTATAAATATTGGTAATTTATGCCTAATAATGGTAATTTCTTTTCATTTATATTCGATAATTTTTATAATTATTTGATAGTTGTTATTGTTACATTATTTGACAATTTTAGGTATAACAGTTATCAAATTTCAAAAAAAAAATCAAATAACAATATTTTTAACTTACAATATGTAACAATCTTCAAAGCACAAAATCTATAAATGTAAACCAAAGAAATTCAATGTTCAAAGTATCGACACATATCGGCCCGTATCAGTCGATACGTATCGTGCTGGTGGCTTCCCGATATGCCTCTATAGGGGTTGTATTGGGTTAGCCACTGGTTCAAAGGGTAGCCAAGCCTCAAACCGGCCCCTCCGAACCAATTTTGAAAAAAAAAAGTAAAACATAAAAAAAAGCACCGACATAGGGCGTATCGACCCATGTTGATATTTAGAAACTTAAAGCAAATCATTAAGCTAAATGCTAATAGCATTTTTAACTAACACTATGTAACAATCTTTAAAGCACAAAACCCAAAAACTTAAACCAAAGAAATTCAATAAGCAAAAAGACAAACATTATTTTTTCTGATTTTTATTAACATTATTTAAATATTTAATTATTAACAGCATTTATCAATAATAGTAAGTAATTATAATATTTTATTAAATAATTAGTAATGATAGTTTTAATAATATTATTTAGTTATTTTTATTATAACAGTAACTATTAAATTTATGAATATGATTTATTAACAATATTCATTAAATTAATAGTTACCAAAATTAAATTAAATTAACAATATTTATTAGTAATAGTCAGTAATTATAATATTTTATTAAATAATCAATAACAACACTTTTAATAACATTTTTAATTATTTTTAATATAACAATAATTTCTAAATTTGTTAACAATATTTATAATTTTAATTTAAAGTAAAACTAAAGTAAATATCTATTTATTAACAATATTTATAATAACAGTAATTATTAATTATTTATAATAACAATACTAATGGGGTGGCTGCTATTACCAACCACCCCATCAGTAATTAAATTACTGCCATTTGGCGAAAGGGGAGACCACCCCTTTGGTATAAAAGATACTTATTAATACATCTATCTTATATTAATATTATATATTATATTATACTATATTATATTATATAATATAAAATAGTTTTAGATAGGCGGGGATCCCTATTTCCCGACGGGAATGGAGTGAGGATCTTTAGCCCCGCCAGGATTCAGGATGAGTATAGGGTGGGGAATTTAAATTCGGAGTCGGATATGGGGCAGACAAAACCTGGCCATACCCACCCCGCTGCCATTCCTAACGAATATACCAGCACTTGCATTAGGATGATCATTTTTTACCCAATCTACCTTCTCTACAAATTTCTGGGCCAGGGTAGTAATTTTTCTTTCAGGCCCAGCCCAAAACTTACGTACAACATATATGGCATCATATCGTGTATAAAAATAAAAAATGAATAATAAATGATAGGCTTTCAGAGGTGTAATGTGGGTCATACCCACTTTTGCGGGCCGTGCCATGCCGGTACATAAGCTTGGGCATGCCATTCCATGCCAATGGGGCTGTACCTGCCTGGCCCAAAAGAGATTACGTCTCCGCCCCATAGTACATCTCCGCCATGTATTAGGAATATCTCCTAATGATGACATCGTCGATTCTGATACTATCATCCGAGATGTTCCTAAAATATGGCAGGAACGTACTGGGAGCTTATGTCGTGTTGGGCCATGCTTGGACCACAGACCATGTCATGATTGGGATGCTGGCTGTTCTGGCACGGGCCGCACAGCCCACTTTTTCGTATTGTGCCATTGTGGCCTCTGGCCTGGTGGCTTACGGGCCTCAAAGCCCAACACTCGTACAACACTGGGGTTTGGGCTGGCCACGTCACGTCTCACTTTACAGCTCTAACCAAGTTTGGTCAATTAGTACATTCGGTTATGTTTTGAAAATAATAGGAGAAACGGTGAGCAAGAGAAAATATTAACTTTTAAGACCAAAATACCCTTTGTTGAAAAGCTCACCTAAAAACATTCTTGTACTTAGTCCATGTGTCTTCAAATTCGAATGGTTTGGGGTTTTCTCCATCTCCCGTAGAAAATGTATGAGTCAGTCCTCATCCTTGGTTTCCATATGTTCATCACTGCTATCTTTCATGCTAAAGTAGATGAGGAAGGGTTTTCATATCAATTTGGTCGACAACAAAGCTCCAAAGTTTTTAACTCTTTAAGAATTCCTTTCCCATATGTATAGCTTGAAAAGTTTAGTTCTCCATAGATCATATGCATGCTCTAAATAATTTAGGTTGGTCAATACAAATTTTAGTTTCATGCTTAAGGTTGTGCTTGGTACCATTGTCACTTGCAAGTTTTAGGTTGGTCAATACAAATTTTTAAGAAATTGTTTTGTTACATCACACCAGAAGACCACTTTCACTAAAAAAAATATACAAATTGGATTGAGTGTTGACATCTATAGTACAAACATCAAATTCGATGTTTCGTTAAGAAACACCAATGGTACCAAATGTTGTATTAATAACTCAAAACACTTGTGATAGAAAAAAATATATTAATCTTATAAAATTTGTATTAATTAATCTAAAATGTTGCAAATAGAAATGACAATTTTCGCTTTTATTAGAAAATTGATAGACACGTTTTGAGAATCCAAACCCTTCCCATACATGAAAATGCAAAACCCTCTCCAATGCTACCCTCCCCACATTCATGGGTAGGGGTGGGTTGGATTTAGAACCTACATCTAATTTCCTATTATTTTTGACATATATAAGCAATAAATAAGTAAAATAACATGAATAAACAACAAAAATTCCAATTATTTGATTAAAATATATAAAATACACAAATTATCAGTTGTCCTTCACATAAAGTTCAAAATATTATTAAATCCAACACTTAATTTATAAAGCTCATATGCTTTCTAACAATATGCGGATCGGGGAGAGTCATGCTTAACCTAATACCATACCCGTACGATGTGAAGGGATGAGAGATCCATCCTATGGACGCCCAAAGATTGCGGAATAAGGGGCGAATTTCAAAAAAAAATTTATCTCTCCCTTCAACTGGGAATCGTATTCCCTATTTAG